AGCAATCAAACCCAGTAAATATGCAATGGGGATATCAGGGGTCTATCTCACCTGTAACCTTACCGCAGTTGTTTGGATTGTTCAATGGCAATCCGATGATAGTAAAATATCAAGATTATGAGGTAGTATTGAGCCATGCGAAACAACCGTTTGACATATTTTACCTTACCTTTCTGTGAAGCCAAAGACCTTCTGCAAATGTTACATACAGGTAAAGTTTAGGAGCTGAATTAAAATAAAGTATTTAAAAGAGGTTGTGTTTTTTCTTAAATGGAAATGAACATACATCAAAAAATGTTTTGCACCAACCCCAGATCTCTACAGGGATCGCAACTTGTACTTGCAGGAAAATTCTTGGTTATGACTTTGCTACATTTCATCCAAATTCTATCAAAATGTTATCAAAGATTACAAACACATGGCAACAATATACTAGGAAGAATTTTCAAAATATTCACCGTAATCTGAGATACAAGCTTTTATACGCTTAGGAATGTTGTCCACGATGGCCGTCAACTGTTCGACCTTAATCTCGTCCCCAGTCTTAGGAAAACCCTTTTTCAGGGAATCCAAACTGCTTAGCAGTGTCGATTCTCTGAGTGCCTTCTTCTCCAAAATGGACCACACAGCATAATCCATAGGTTTCAGGTCTAGTGAGTTTACGCACTAGACGTATTTCCCCCACGGATTCGGAAAAAGCTCTTTGCAGAGCTCCATCACTGTCTTCGCTCTGTGCGCGGGCGCCCAGTCTTGTTGCAGCGTCCATTCATTTTCGCCGAAATGGTCACGTGCCCAGGGATCAAGAATTACTCTCAGGAAGCGGTCAAGATACACGGCTGCATTGACCTTACCTCCATTTCAAAACTCAGAGGAGTCTTGCCCGTGGCACAAATCCCAGCCCACACCATCACCGACTGCGGCAAATGAGACCTGCTCACAATTGCGGCACCTGAGAGCAGTTCTGGATCCCTAGACAGGTGATCATTTTGGCAGCGTAGATTCATTGAAGAAGGATTTCCTTAAACTAGGGGCACCATTAAGGTCGAACAGCTGATGGCCATCGTGGACAACTTTCCAAAGCGTTTAAAAGCCTATATCTCAGCCGAAGGTGAACATTTTGAAACATCTTCATTGTATTTCGTTGCCAAATGTATTTGTATGTTTGATGAACTTTGATGGAATTTGGATGAAATACAGCTAAGTTATAAACAAAAGTATCGCCGAAAGAACCCTGTAGAGAAGGGGGGTTGTGAAAGACTTATTTTGATGCGTGCATGAGAACCTCACACTTTCGTTCTTCGGATCGGATATTTAAGAACAATGGAACCCTTGGCTTCCTTGAAGAAAGCTTAAATTCACCCGTGTTCCCGTTTACGTGTGAGCATGGCAACGGCATCGACCCGGAGGAAAGGCTAATCCAGAATCCGAAAACTGGTTGACACATTGTAGGGGAAGGAGAGCTTGCTAAAGGGGAAACTTCAATCCACTGCCGACGCTTCAATTGAGGTAAAGCCTCTCCGCAATACTAGTGAAAAAGTACCTCTGAAGGTGCTTATTCCTACTCATTATGGGGTAAGTTCCATCATTGTCCTGTTCGTCTTTTCAACTAAATGGTTTTTTTGCACGGAAACGTAAATCCTGGAATCGGAACGGGTTGATTCTAAAGGGTTAATTGATGTGATTCCTTGGGAATATTTCGTCATTTTTGTTCTTTTCGGTGCAGTACTCCTGCCCGTGTGCCCAGCAACAATTATTTTATTTAAGGTTAAGTAGCGGTCGGTTAGATAAACCACAAGAGCGAGTAGTTTTCCACATATTTTGATTCCGAGAAACTTTAAATAAAAAAAAGATAGGAGGATACGATTTAAAAGATTTTTTTACATTCATTCAAAGAAGAAGTGACAATTCAGAGAAAATTGGCCAACTAGAGAAGTTTCTGGCATGCAGGTCGATGTCCCATGTCGTCAGTTGCCATGCGTTGGCAGCTCATGACCTCATTATTCATCTTTCATGAAACCAAGCGGAGCCAAAACAAAACTGGTCTCATGGCAACCTTTCAATAAATAATTTTACTGAAAGGAAAGGAGAGGCTTTTGAAACATAGCTTTCGTTAACCCTTACAGTTCTTGGTCCCTTTATGGGGACGCAGTACCCTGATTTTTCCAGGTTATATAAAAAAAAATCGGATTCCAAGCGCTTGCTCCAATACACATTAACTTCATTTAAATGTTACTTATACTGATATGCAATTGGCTATCCATGAACTGGGCACGTTTTCATCGTAGGCATGCTCACGGTTTGCACAATAGAGACTCGTCGTAATGGTTTGTCAGCATTTCCAAAAAATAGATGACTGACATGAAGAGAGGACATCGTGAAGAGAGCTTCACTTTCATCGACTTCTATTGACTTTTTAAAATATATTTGGACTAAGGTGTACGTCCCCTTGAGACTTGTGGCAAAGCAACCCATTCACCCCATCCAGAAAAATGAAGCCAATGTAATTATGATGTACTAGCGGTGCCCCATGCAGATTGAGCAGAATGACAATGCAGCGACTTTCAGATTTCATCACATATACGCCATGTTCTGAAGGTACTCGTATACGGAAATCGTTCAGCCTCATTGAAGCTGTATATTGGGCTTCTAGACCTCATATTCAGATACCGGGTCAGAAGGAGCGATTTTCGCAGCCATACGAATAAAAATTTCCCTCCCTTCATCTGGAAAAGTCATCCCCTTGGGAAATTTCCCTCTTCCGACATAAAAGCCCATAAAGTGACTACCTATGGGCAGGTTCTTTCATTCTAAATCTGGGGTAACCAACTTCATTTATTTTCGTCGGCTATTTACCATTAGATCTCGAAATGTCATATTTTGTTCCTACACTCTAATGTGATTGAACATTTGTTTATCAAACCCATGTTTCAATTACAAGTTCAGACATGGAATGCAGCATTCCGAATTGTCAGGCAGGGCAAATGCCCTCCACGATCTCCGGATTTTCATGGCTGGTGATTTTTTCTCTCAGATTTCAGAAAACTTGAAATGTCGGCTCAAGTGCATGTATCCATGGTGACGACATGCACTCCCATATATGAAGGAATTCATTGATCGCTACATCGATCAGGCTCCACTAATACTGAATCATTAAATGAATCGCTAGGCAACAATAGCGCGACCTATGCATCCACACCAATGCTATTCATTACATTGCATCTCACATTACCGATTTGGGGGATGGTGGATGGGGAAATGAAGTGTTCAACATATCGTAGTCCTGCGTCTATCATAGTAAACGGATGTTTTGATTGTCAATATTGTAGTTGGGGTGCAGCATATGCGAATGATCCCTCACATCCGACGAGATAGCAGACAAACTGGTCGCATCCCATGGGCAATTGATTATTTTCATGTATTAAAGCTCTGTTTTTCAAACTCGGGAAGCTCGATTTCGAAGCAACCGAGGTCCGAGGTAAAACATAAGTGCTCACGAACGACGGAAGGAAGCCAAAGAGCGCGAGGGTTCTTCAAAGGGTGCATTTTTTTCTTGCATCGCAATTGCATTGTTAGATGGAAAAAATTGCAGCATATACTTTTTGGGTCTTGGAGCAATAAAAGAAGGTGATTTGGAAATCGTGACTGCTATTTTTTGCATGTACCCTGTCTTCCTCCATTCGTATGAGCTGATGTTAGATAATAGCCGTTGTTGTTTCTAAGACTGGGACTCCCAGATATTTAGATTCATTTGCCGCGCTTGCAGTCTCGCGTCCGATCACCGACACAGAACGTATAATACATGGTAGATTGCAGTGGGAAACACTCCCCTTAGGGTTGGAAGGTGCACTCTGCGTAGTATGCTGCTTTGAAAACATGAACATAAAAAAATAATTTGAACTGTTGTTCTTAGTGTCGGACATTAAAGCAGTCAATAGAACGTTCCCAGAGACGTTCATGGAACGTTGATAGTAACTAAACTGGAACGTTTATTGGACACATTCGGGTGCTATATGGATGGCATACTCTGAAGATCATGGCGATTCCTTCCACAACAGAGCATTTCGTTTCCTCCGGTTTACAACAGGTTACAATGGCAGTTGTATTCTTTAAAATTTAACCAAATGTTTTCTTCAGTAGATTATGCAAAATGTATTAATCATAAGTTACATGGCGGATAAACATGGATTGGTCAAAATAATAATTATTTATTATGTAACCCATACAAGTGCACACACTCACAATCAAACGCCTACGTATTATCACGCACAATACTTCCAAATTAGTATAAGAAGATTGATATTCGATTCCAAAGGGGGGGGGGGCAATGAGAAGAAACACTTCTAAGACTTGGAATTGGTTCGTAAGCACTTGTTTTTTCTCGCGTTAGCTCTGATATATATGCTAGTCATAAGTTTTTAACTTATGTCTTTTGTTTATCACCCATGGCTCGATTTTGATCCTCAGGTCAATACTAGGAGCTAGCCACTCGTGAGGACAAACTTGGCACAAAATTCTTAGAATCTTATGTAAACTCTGTTTACGTATGCATGGAAGACATGGATTTCGAAGACAATATATTGCATGGCAACATATTTGTGACTGACACCAACATAATGACTCACAAAATCGTGAATTTAAAAAGAATATTTCATCATACAATTCTCTAAGATATTTCAAACGTAATCAGGACGAGTATTTACATACAAGTCTACACTCATCTTTAGAGGGTGGCCAAACTTTCGGGAGGTAGGATTGCTCTCGTTTAGTAATTTCCACTGAAACCGTCTCTTACAGGAGATAAGTTGAGTAGATTACTGCTTCATTCAAAAGTATCCAATTCTATGTGTCCCACATGATTAATCTTTTTTTCTTATTATTAATCTTAGCTTGAACATGTGAAAATTTGTTCTTACATCCTCGGAAAGTTGCCTTAATAAATTCAGGCAGTATTTCTTTCCGCTTGAATGTGAATAATAAATAATTGATATCGCGACAGGGTGATGGGCAGACATTTGACGTTGGCAGTGTTTTTCTGCCTGTTCCGGACAAGATCATCCTCTCACGTCGTCGTTTATTGGACCCTGAACCATGGGCAGCGATATGGGAACGTGTCAAAGGAAATTCAAGTGGAAGACTTCGAGGAGTGCTACCTGAAATGCTTCAGGGACGAACTGTCTCGGCTCTGCCACGCTTTCAATTTTCGGGGAAGGGATGGCTCCTGCCATTTAATATACGACAGAAGCAATCTCATCCCCTCAGAAGGGTACGCGACACTCGCCCAATGTGAGTTTCATGAAGTCGTGTTCGGATTTCAAGTGCGTTCAGCCCATTTCCTTCCTTCAATCGCGTAGACATGCTTTCCATGCTCTCCTATTTGGCTCATAGGTTTCAATATTGTCCAATTTCACAATTTTATTTTTCCAAAATAAAATTGTGACATTTGTTTAAACATTTAGGAAAAATGTTTGAAAACAGATCGCTTCAAGGCTCATGAATAGTACGTCTCACATTAACTCTTTGCTGTTACCTACAAATAAATTACCGTAAGTTACGAGATATCTTCGTTTTTACTGAGTATATTTCTTCCGTGAAAACATGGCATAATGCTTGATTTGTTGCCACAGTTATGCCTGCAACCGTTTTCACAATACAAGAATTTTCAGTATTTGGACATGGGTCGAAGGGTCGAAGAGTAAGTAATCAATAATTCAGAGGGTGGGCCAAAAAAACTATCATTTTTGGCTTGTAGGTTGCAAATGTTAATGAAATTTGGTACACACATAGGATGAGTCAATTAGGTTTTGTGTGTCAAGTTTCAGAAAAAGGCCAACAAGTGTGAGATTAACCTTTTTATTTACATTTCGTCACCAAAAAAGTAAGGGTCAATTTTTCTTTCAGTTTAAAATCTTTCACAACTGCCAAAAACGATTAAACAGAACGAAAACAGATGAACAAATGCAAACAGAAAAACACACAATTTTGTTTAGAGTTTAGAACACCGTTTCATCTGGAAAGGTGTTCAATGTGCCCTACATTCAGTTGAACGCAAGCCTATAGGACGCCACAGATGAATATGGTCAATAAACCTTTGAGGCAGTGCCTCCCAAGCTTTCGTTGTAGCATCATGCAGGGATGGAAGGTTTATGAATTCGGACCTTCCTTTCATCCCGGCCTCAGGCCAAAATATCGGCCCTTCATCACAAAATATCGATATTTTCGACAGCACATTTTGTCATTGGTCTTCAGAAAATAATTACAGCTCTTATAATTTTAGAACCAGAAAACTGAAATTCAGCAGAAAAACTCAGAATGTGTCACTCTATAGGTCCACCATTTTTTTAAATAAAAATTCGGCGGCTTACAAAGAGATTGGCGAATCAACAAAAATAACAGTTTTGCTTTTTTCGACCCACTCTGTATTTGGTCATCGTTTTGAGTAATTTCGTGACTAACCAACAAAATGGTATTCATCATTTGATCATATTATCGTTATGATGACTTCTCCAACGTTTAGACAGGCATATGTTACGATAATGCCCAAAAACAACACGAAGCGCTTTTGATGGACGTAATTATAAGTTATTGTGGCTTCATGAACCGTTACGTTATATTTTAGCTTGATGAAATTAAGGCCATTCGTATTTCTTCTGGGTGGAGCTCTTTGCCTAACAGATTACCCGAGTATCAAGAACGCAGATAGAACATTCGAGGGATGGGAAGGTGAGTATCCAGTTCCTCTTGGCGGCAAGATAATCTTCACTTGCAAATATCTGCGAGGGTTCGCTGACGGATCGAAGTTCCACGAGGCTTCCTGTTCCTACGTGGAACATGATGCTTGGTCCACGACGTTCGCGAATGGGGATTCTCTCCTGTGTCCATCTCCACGTGAGCATGTTGTGCATGAGATTTGGGAAGTGGAGTTCACTCCATATCCGAATTGCCAAAAATCCGTGTCCCATTTCTCCCCCATGCGAGGCAAAAGCGGTTGATGCACTTCCGTTATTCTCTCTTCCCCGAGTACCCTAAACAGCCGTCTCAGCGTTGATACCTGATCCTTTTTTGGTTGTGTGGAAATGCTAATAACTTTCGATTCACAGGCATACCTGGGATAAGTACATAAAGCATTAAACATTACACATTAAAATTTGTGCCCCCAGGGCATTTACTTCCAAAGTCTGAAGTTTTCTGCAGCATCCCAACAGGTAGTTATGTACCAAGTTGTACCTATCCACACTAGCTCAATACGCCTGGGGAAAAAAAATATATACTTGAAAACGTCGGCTCACAAAAATATGCCCCGAGGGCATGAATCTAAAATGTTTCATTTTTCCTGAACTCATCATCTCGGTAGGTACGTCCATGCCAAGTTTCAGCTTTCCATGTCTCTCCGTTTTACTCAAGCAAAAATAATGTAATGTCGGGGGAATGAGTAACGGGACATGGAAGGCAAAAAAAGAAAATAAGCCAAGGAATGGTCGGGAATTGTACCCATACCTTCTGATTGGCAGTTAGTGATGCTACTATTACACCACCGAATCCAGGGCATCCAGTTGTCTCTCTGAATGCCATCCTCATCTGTCACAAAATATTTTTAAGAAAAACGTTTCCCCCAAAATATTTACCCCCAGGGCATGTACCTCCAAAGTCGGAGTTTTTCTGAACTCTACATCCCAAAAGGTACTTGTTTACCAAGTTTCAGATTCTAACCCTTCTAGAACGTTGTTAGAATTAGCGTGAGTCAGTCAGTCAGTCACGATCGTCTATGTATATTAGATGCATGTGACAGCCCTCCAGATACTTTTGCATTGCGTTTCAGCAATATACAGCTGCTCCTTCGCCGGAAAATATTTTTTCTCTAAAAGTTTGTGCCCCACGGGAATGGATCCCGAAAAGGAACTTCTTGAATAACATTTTTATGAATTCACGATTGTAACATTTCAGTTTTCCATATCTACCCCTTTAACAGCAACGGAAAAATAATTATTGGAAAATACCTGCAGGAAGAAGCAAGAATAGAACGTATTTTAAAAGTATATAGGATGGATGAAAAAAAAAACGCTCGACCGTTTTCTATGGGAGAAAAATTTTCATAAATGCAGGAAACAACATGGAATTTTAACACATAATCGATATATCACAGTTACAAGGTTTTGAAGTACTTTCCATCTTTTTTTTTTAGCACCCCTGCCTCAGTCGTGCTTTTCTCCCTTAACACGTTGACGACCAGCCTATTTTTGCTTCTCCGCCGCGTAGGACCACGCGCATTTTTTTGTCAAGAAATGCGTCCTGCCATCAGGACGCATGGTCCCAGAAAACATTTTTTTGCCGAGTTTTGTGGATCATTCCATCTCCTGTGGGCTGATTACCTGTGCTCGACCGTTTCAGAATTCAATTAACTTTTCAATGTTAACTTTTCGAAGGAAAGCTGGATCCGGTTGATAAGTGGCAGAGGTTCATCAATCAAGTAGGTTTTTCCTTCCCTTCCTCAAGGTGGCGCTGTATCTCGATAGAGGGCGCTGTTGTTGACCAGGAGACTGAAGGTGATTTAAAAAAATATATATTCACCGTTTTAATTGGGGAGAAAGTACGATTCGTGTATTCCAGTAAAAAGTATATTCATAAGTTCCTGATATTGGTGTTGAGAAGGAGGTGGAGTTGTTGAGGAGATTGTCTTCTTTTTCTCTGAAGAAGTCTCTTAGCCATGTATTGTCCCGTTACACAGTTTACAGGAGGAGCATTGAACCTTTCTTTTTTAACTAAACTTCGGTCACCTATGTGAACAACAGCGCCCTCTATCGCGATACAGCGCCATCTTGAGGAAGTTAAAGGAAAAACCTATTTGATTCATGAATCTCTGCCAAGTATCAACAGGATCCAGCTTCCCTTCAAAAATTTAACGTTGAAAAGCTCATTGAATTCTGAGACGGTCGAGCACAGGTTATCGGCCCACAGGAGGTGGAATGATCCATCTCGAAGCACCTTTAATTCACCTTTAAGTGGGAAAAGCACGACTTAGGCTGGGGTGCTGGAAAAAAGCTGGCAAGCATTTCAGCAGCTAGTAACTATGAAATATTGATTGTGTATTAAAATTTCACTTTTTTGCTGGCTTTATGAAACAGTGTTTCCCCCAATGGGAAACGGTAGAGAATTTTTTTAAAACCACCTTATATATCTATTTTATTATTATCCGAACATGACTTTGTCCACCACGTCATCGCTTCCTTTGTCATTCAGAGTCACTAAAGCGAAAGCATTTCTTGTAAACCCTACTACCTACAAAGTTATGCCCTTAGAATATTGTTCTTGAAAATGGGACATGCTCCCAAATAAAATATCCAGGAAATTAACGTCCCACATTTTGTTGTTCAATGATTCCGATCATTTTTCGCCAATCACTTTCAGCTTTTATGGAATTTCCTTAGGTGAATTTGTGTATCCGGAATGCAAACTTTCTCAAATGGGAAAGGAATACGTGGGGTCATTGAATGTAACAGACTCAGGGAAACCATGCCTCAGATGGGACTCACCACGACTGGCAACAACCTACGATTCCAATCCTTCCGATGGCTTCGTGGATGCCATGTTTTATGACGAGCATGTCTTGAACCAGGATCTATCTTTACATGAAAACTTCTGCAGGAACCCAACATTTAAGGACAGGCCCTGGTGCTTCGTCGACGATGGCACCATCCATTCCGAATATTGTCAGGTTCCCCTATGCGACGATATGGGTAAGGAGGCACAACTGTACTCTTTTATAAGGGGGTTTGTGTGGGAGTGGAAAGAGAAATCAACTCCTCTCTAAGCAAAGTTAATTCACTTCCGTCATTATTCCGAATCCTCGGTTCCTATGATATTGCCGTATTATTTAGCAAAAAACGTGCTTTGTATAAGTTGTCCAAGCGGGACATAATGAGTCAATAGTCCTAAAAATAATGCAAAAAATACGTAAAAAAACCCAGCGGTTTCGAGCGCGTTCGCAGGAGAGGATTAGTGCAACTCCTTGAGAAATGACCGGAAAATATTGATTTCATGACGAATAAGTTGATACTTGGCGAATAAATATTTGGCGAAATATTCAATAACTAAAATGTTTCCAACCGCAATTCAAAGACAAAGTGCAACCCATCAGAAAAGCTATTAATATCGCTGGAGTGCTCTCTTCAGTCCATTTTTTTCATATTTTTTAGCTCTTTCGATTCAAATCACTATGAGATGCGACAATGAAACCGTGAGGTGGATTGAACGAATTGGAGCATAGCAAGCCATGAAAAAATGCCACGGAAGAATACTTGCAAGAATGTACTTATTGTGGATGGGTTACAACAAACTCCAAGGGTGGTGAAACGTATGAAAACAACTGGTACAGGGACGAATATGAGGGAGACGGTTAACTTCCATTGAGCTCATTAGCATTCTACAGGCGTTGCATACATAATGCGCATGAACTACTTGCTTTGAGAAATGGAACTGCCTCAATTTAGTCTTTCACCATACGATTTCTTGCTCATATTTCGTGCAACGTGTAAATTATTGATACGCCAAAGAAGACATGAACATTTCGATGGCATTAGTTCTTCCAATAGGTCCAATGTGAACTGCAGAGAGAAGTGATTCATCATGGATTATCCTGTACATTGGTTAATGAATAACGGAAAAGAACTTGGTGATCGCTCATGTATTCGCATGCATTTATTCATGGCTCCATTCAGATCACTGATTTTCATGAAAACGTTTCATTCTTAAGAAAAAGCTAATTCAATTTACTCGTTGTTGAGGGACGTTGCCATTGTAGTAAAATTGACCTTAAAGCATGGTGTTGCCGAATTTGTGGATATGTAATTATCTGAACAATATTTCATTGTAGAGGGTTTGTTAAACAACAAAACATTCCCAGAGCTTCTCTCAGAAATGCCTCCCAGAAATTTCGGAAGGAACCCGAAAACGCCTTTGGAGTTTATCCGTATTTTATTAAGGAAGTTATGATGCAATTCAGAATGTCGAAAAATCTAATGGGAAACACGCCGTTTACTGACTAGGTGGTGTTTTTTCTCTCATATTTTTCGTTAAACATGATGTATGAAATCCAAGTGTCACGAATTTCGTATGATTACTTTCGTGTTTTCTGCACGAAATATAAAAATCAAGTGGCTTTGAATGGGCAAAATCTTGGAAAGAATACGATGTTGGTATTGAAGAGTGGCAGTAAGGAGATGAAGAAAATGTGTTCTCGTTTGAGATCCTACTCCTTGCTAATGATGCCTAAAAATACCCAGAGGATGGTGTCACAAAGAGCCCTCAAGTCGACTCTAGTCGTCATAATCGCCCTCAAAGATGTTCATTGCTCGCATTTTTGTCATGCCGTCTTTTGTTATACGTTCAGGAAAACTAGAATGCAAATTGACGCAGAAGGGAGGGGAATATGTGGGAGTGAAGAACAGGAGCATTTCCCGTTTTCCGTGCCTTCCGTGGTTGGAATCGACACACTTCTTGAAGGATCGGATCTATAATGATAGGCGCCCACCTTTTCCGGATCTCCTCAGTGACACTCACAACTACTGTCGCAACCCCAATGCAAAGCCAGGTGGTCCCTGGTGCTATATTCAGGATTCTGGAGAGTCCGGCATAGAATGGGAATATTGTGATGTGCCTTTTTGTGCATTGGAATATCCAAATATTGCATGTGACTCACGGAACCAGTGTGAATCAGGTAAGTTGTTTCAACGAATATCAAGGAATTCACCTCCCACTTTTTTCTAGTTAATGAATCTGAGATCATAATGTTAGGCCGTGCAGTGGAGTTCCTATTTTTATCTGATTTACTGGTTTGAATTATACATAAACAGGAAATACTCTTTTTGCTAAATTTCATCGATAATGCTCAATCCTAATTGGTCGTGCTTTCACGTGATGAATATGGCGTCTCAAGGTTACATAGCCCGGTAAGACTTGATGGCAATGAAAGAGGAATTCCTTTCTAATTTGGAATTGCATAAAAGACCAAACAGGTGAAGTAGTGTATTATTTTTAATACTTAAGGTGAAGTTGGTTGGGGTCACTCTTTTCTTCCTTTACTGCTTGCTGCCGCCTCCACGAAAGCTATAGAGGGATAAATTGCAGTTTCTCTTCATCTCTCTAAATCATATGAGTTAGCTCATTGCCTCTCAAAAAGGTTGGAAAATGCAAAGTCTCCGAAAGTAATAGTTCCACCGATGTGTGGTTTTAGGTTCCCATAACTTTTAATTCTGTGTGGGTGCTGAAAATGTTTCAATCTGGATTGAAAATACTTTAAGAAGATAAGAAAATCCTCGGAATCCCATTTCCAGAGTTGTCAGCGGCTTCCAGAGAAACACTTCCTATCTTTGTCCCCATAGAATACCTTGAGGAAACCAATATCTAGCCCTACATATTGGCTTTGGATTTCCTAGGGGTGACAATGATACGGCACCATTCAGGTACATCTCCTCAGCTAAAACCTTCCTTCATCACTAAGATTAGAACTGAACATGCAAAACCTGTAAGTTTCTTTAGGCCAAAAGCTAAACTTTTAAGGTACATGAAACATATTTAAAATGTCAACCACCTTGAATCAAAATTTCGCGTAATAATTATTGTTTGAGACCACAAGAGCCGCTTTTAAAGACTCAACTGTCATCAGCGTGGACATAAGTATTGTCAAAATTCACGATTTCGATGGGTTCCTTCAGTGGCTTTATTTATGGCATCGTTCCACACGTAACTTTGAAATTAGCCTCATTCTCTTTCGTAGCCTCTATTCTAAACACTAATGCAAAATTCTCGATGATGCTACCACGGGTTCGGGATGGGGATCGGATTTTGCGAAAATCTCGTCTCTTGTGCCTCACGCTTGCCCTTCTCGAATCTGTTTGTCATTGGCAAACGGAATTGACATTTTTATGATTAAGTCCAACGTTAATTGCACACACACTAAGCTATAAACAATTGCATATGTAATTCCCCACAGAGACGAAACATTTACAACTAGAGTTCGGTGATATGGGACTACATCTGAAATTAAAGTTAAATTGGTGAGTTAAGCTGCGGTGAAATTGAGTTCATGACCAGAGTTTGGTCCCTTCGATTTCCTCTCTAGACCTTTGCTTCTTGTCCTTCTTCTTATACATGCTCTTTAACGTAATGCATGAGAAGAATGATTTCTTTTAAGAAGCCAACGAGACTCATGTCTCACCTACCAAGGACCTTATAGTGTCGTATACCTCGTATATTATAACAGATGTATATAAAGTTGTTAACATGCAATTAGAGTAGTCCACTTCTTCTGGATTAATTAAAAGTTGAATTAAAGGAACATGGCACCCAAAAAATTGCAATGACTACGAAAAAAACTAGATAAATTAGGAAACGTAACGATTTAACATCCTACTGGCTTCATTTAGCGCAGAGATGATTTATACGACTACTTATGGCCATTGAGTTCTGGAACACCTTTTGGAAATAAAAGTAACGGTGGCAGCATGCACCTCCGATGGATTGAACTGAATGGATTGGATATGTGGACATTCGTTTGGTAGGACCCATGAAACAGGGGCCGGAGACACGTTTACTCTAATCCATAACCAAATTAACACTGTTTCATCATTGAATGCAATTCTATGAATGCATTCGACAGGAGGTGTTGACGCGAAGTAGCTGGAAGTAGGAACATGGAAAAAGACGATTCACTGACATTTTAAAACAAACTTTCAAATGGAGCAGATATTATTGCATTTTTCTTTTAGCATTAACGCACCTAGTACTGTAAATAGCATCTTTAAACATCGCTCTGTACTATCACTTACGATTGCGAAATAATGTTTTCCCTTGATTTACAGAGAAAGATGACGTCCTAAGCTTATATCCGGAATGTCGGAAGACAGAAATGGGAAAGGAATATAAGGGCATCAAAAACCGAACGGAAACCGGGAAGAAATGTCTGCCTTGGGGAATTCCAGTAATCAAGAAAGCCTTGGAAAATATCCTGCTGTCCCACATCTCTGCTGAAGACCGCTTCAAAGAAAAGTTTCGGGTTTTGGATAACATGGATTCCTGGACGAATGAGGAAGCAAACTATTGCCGGAATCCAGGGTTTCGAAAACGACCGTGGTGCTTCATCTCGGATGATCTGAAATGGGAATACTGCCACATCCCGTTCTGTCCTAATCGTAAAGGTTTGCGAAATTGTCACAGGAGATCGTCTAACCCCATATCAACCATCGAAATCCAAAACCTGGCTAACGAGCTCACGCCGCTTGCAGGCGAATAAATAATAATTAACAATAAACAAATTAAAGGATGCATTATGTCAAATGCTAATACTTTCGATTCCAACTTTAGCTTTTAATTTGATCCATCGCTAAATTAAAACAGAAAATGTTATTCATGGATTCAGATTTTAAGCATTTAAATCCAAACAGTCATGTTAGTTGCATAAATCACTAGCTAACTTGTTACAATCCACTTCACGCTCTCTATACAGACTAGCGAATCATTATATTCCACTAGCGAGTTTTTTTGCCCGAAGGGCAAAAAAACTCGCTAGTGGAAGGGCAAACAAATTCGAAGGGCAAACAAATTCGCTATGCCTGCCCCTTCGGCGCTCCAGTGTTCAGGTTAATGATTCATGCATCAATTTATTTTCAAAGTGGCAAAACGTATTAAAAGTATGTACCTGTGAAAATGCACCTGCACCGAGAGAGAGAACGAAACGATATTTCCTTCGAAATAATTACTCCAATTATTTACAATGTATTTCCTCCTCCACCCTGATCCGCTTGGTCTTATTGTTATTGCAAAAACATATTTCGAAAAGCTGATGCCGTCCATTACTGTGCCCTGAAGGTATGCAAAACTTGACTTTTTCCTGAACTTACCTTGACCTCAGTTATTAGAGTCCCAAGTTTCAGTTTTCTATATCTGTCCAATGCGGTAGGAAAAAAAAAATTATTTGAAAACTTTTGAAAACTTAAAGCAGGACATGCATACAAAATTTTTCCTGAACTGTGTCTCAATATGTGTCTCAATAGCCCATGCTAAGTTTCAGCTTTCACTGTCTCTGTTAGACTGAAATAAATTTGTATCGTTGAAAACATGTCCCCCACAATGAGTGCACCCAGGACATGTTCCTGCAAAGCCAATTTGATTTGGAACAATGCATCCCAAAAGAAACACGTGTACCCAGTTTCAGATTTCTGCCTTATCTAGAACTTGGGTAGAATTAGCGTCACTCACTCAGTCGCTCACGGTCGTCACGAATTTACTTGCCCAAAGGGAAAGCAAACTCGCTATGAACGCGCCTTTGGCACGGTTCCCTCTACAAGTGATTAATATATTTGAAACATCCCACTTCGATTCTAATAACTGCAAATTGAGTGAAACTCCTTGGATTATTCTGATTTTTTAAACATCAGTTTATGTTACTCCTGCTTTTGTGAAATGATTTCGAATTTCATATTAGGAACATAAATCAAACAGATTATTCAAAGCCCCAGAACTGTCACTTTAGAGTTCATCCTCAATACCGCGCCTTCTATAGGAAGACTACAAGAACCTGCTCTGTATGAGCGAAATTATGCTACTGAGTTTACTCATTTTCCCCTAAACAAAGAAACTCTAGTATGGTGGCAAAAAAAATTGAGAACATTTTTGCAACCGAAATATATGCCCTGTGGGTGGGTACGATAAAGTGAAGATTTTCTATAAATTAACATATCACTAACCACGTTCACACTCATTTTTTTCTTTGAATGAAGACAATATGAAAATACAGGGTGTTTTAAGTTGATGGACCCGATTTGATATCGCTATATCTCTGCAACCACGAACCGCCCATGAATGAAATTCTTACCACTTGAAAGGGTGGGGCATAGAGTTTCAAATGATTACCGCTAGATGCCTCTCCCAGGGCACAAACAGCCCCTAGCCTCAGTCATTCAAAAGATGGCGACCCCACAACACAACCCTGTGTTGCGGGGGTCGACATTCACCACAAACTTTTATTGCTACTGAATTCAACATGTCCTCAGTTATTGCTGCAACAAGTTTCAGTCTTCTATTTCTTCCCCATGCGATAGGACAAAAAGTTTTTTGAAAACGTGACCCACAGAAATATGCCCACAGAACACGCAGCTGAAACTCGGTATTTTCTTAACTTAGAGTCTCATTAGGTGCGTCCATGTCTAGTTTCAGCTTTCCACGTTCATTTGTTCAACTGCAGCAACAATTTGAATTTATAATATATTTCCCTTAAATGTTTGATCCCAGGGTATTGTCCTCCAAAGCCTGAATATTTCTGAATTCAAGTTTCCACTAAGTACTCGTTGCCAAGTTTCACCACCTATCTCTGCCCGATTCGGTAGCAGAATATACTTTTTTTTAAGTCATCCCCCAGGGATATGCTCCTAGGACTTGCATCAGAAAATTCAAATATTTCATGAACAGAGTGTCTTAGTAGGCACGTCCAGGTCAGGTTTCAGATTTCCATGTCTCCCCGTTTGACTAAAGCAAATAGATGTCATTGGAAACATCTCCCCCAAAATGGGTGCCCTCAGGGCATGTACCACTAAAGTCGGATTTTTACTCAACTCTTCATCCCAAACGGTACATGTGTACCAAGTTTCAGATTTGTATGACATCTATAAGATGGTCGTCAGTCACTCACTCACTCAGTCACGATCGGCTATGCTTATACCGGCTAGCGAATTTATTGGCCCTTCGGGCAAAGAAACTCGCTATGAACTAAATAAAATTATCGCTTAACCCTTTCAGGACCATAAGCATTGTGGGACAGCGACCTTAACTTTAATGACGTGTTTAGGGTGAAAATGACGTGTAGATTCCAAAAAACTTTGTTTGGAGACTGTATCTCCCATAGTTCTCGAGATATAGCGTGGGACAAATATGTCCCACAACAATACTACAAATTGGGTAAATCTCCGTTTATCATTATAATTTTTTATTGTGAGTTTTAGCTACTCCTGCTTCTGTGAAGTGATTGTCAATCTGATGTTAGGAATTTGAATCAAGCAGAGATTCTTCATAAACCCATAATTGTAGCGCTTTCCATAGCAAGACTGTAAGAACCACCTTTCTATGAGCGAAATTGAGCGAGTTTACGTATTCTTCCCACTAAACTAACAAGCTCCAGTATGGCGGTCACACACTACTGGTGGAGCATTGTACCTTTTTTTAAATCACCCTCAATCATCCGGTCAACAACAGCGCCCTCTATCGGGATACAGAGGCATCTTGCGGCAATGAAAAAAACCCACTTAGACTCATGAACCTCTCTGTTCAGTATCCACGGGATCCGACTGTTCCTTGAAAAGTTGAAGTCGAAAAGTTCATTGAATTATAAGACGGTGGAGCACAGGCAATCACCTCAGTTGAGGTGGAATGAAACCTTCAATTCACCACTAAATAGGCATCGCACGACTTGGGCAGGGGTGCTGAAAAAAGCTAGCAAGCATTTCAGCACCTTGTAACTGTCCAATATCGATCGCGTATTGAAATTAATTTTTTTTTGCTGCCTGCGTGAAACGGTGGAAACCGTATACCCTTTTTCCATGGAAAACGGTAGAGCGTTATTTTTTTTAACCACCCATATATATAAATCCAACGTTACACTTGACCTAAATCGCTCCTTACCATGCATTCATCGACTCAACATCTCGTCAACATCTATCTGGTTCTTACATAATAAAAAAAGTCAACTGATGTTTTATGACATGACAGAGCCAGTGAACTGCAAGCTGACCTTTCATGGAATGGAGTATGCGGGGAAAACGAACATGACGAGAGATGGGAAGAAGTGTCAACCCTGGCTGAGCCAGACTCCTAACAAGCATTCCATGATCTTTTCTTTGTCCTATTTCCCTGATGATGGCATGGACAGTCGTCACAACTACTGTCGTAATCCAGACATTGATGGCAATGGGCCCTGGTGTTACACCGAGGAGGACATTGGTCGCCAGTATTGTGACATTCCTTTTTGTTGGGAAATGTATCAGAGATCTGCTGTGAAAGGTATGCATTGAGGTTTCTTCTTTTCGATACCAATTCATTATACCACTTCAAGAAAATCCTGAGCATTAGGGTATACTCGGTAGAGAAATAGAAAATCAAACGGAATCCTGATCCCCATTCAAAGCGGCTCTACACGCAGCTCTCAATCTCGATTGTCTTAAGTAATCAGTGAAATGAGACTTGGTCGTAGAGAATGCGGAGGACTGGAGTCAACTAGGGTCAGACTGTCAAGAGAATTGGTATTTGTTCAGGCAAACACCTCAAAATCCAGCCTGCTTATCTTAGGTTCTCTTTTTTTGGAAATATAACCTCTGGCACCACCAAAAGGAAAATTTTTCCATGGGATCGCATAAAGTAAAAAAGAGACCCCATTTGAGAGCAGCTCATCTAATACTAGCTATTGTCGCTATGGTCGTGCCTTCGGCGCTCCATTACCTTGGATAGTGAACAATTCATTTATTCTTTGCGAAATGGCAAGCACGTATGTAAAGTACGTCCCCATTGAAATACGTTACAGATGGGGATGAAAGTCATGATTTTTATCAAAACCATTACTTCTATGGTTTCTAGAGTGCCTAACTCGAAATCTTTTCATATGTCCCTTTTTGTAAGGGTGGAGAATAAATTTTGAAATACTCCCCTCTTATAATCTACGCTAATGGAACAAATTACAAAAGTAGGATTTTTCCTATACGCATCCATCAAACAGGTACTTTTGAGGGAAGCTTAAATTTCGTGTCTCTGTTTCGTTTGATCAAAAAAAAATCAGGAAAATGGGACTGAAAAATGTGCCTTGATGGGTTTTAACGAACATTTTTTTTCTTCTGAAATGTAGACTCATGGAACTTAATGCCACCTAGTTTCAGCCTCATGCGTTTCCCTTTTTGCTAGCGGAAAAAATGTTCTGAGTGTTCTGAGGAGACGTATAAAAAAATTTCAATTTTTCCTTAAATCAACATCACGTCAGTGATGCGTGCGTCAGATGCTATTTTTCTATTTATGCCTAATTCGCCAGCATATTAAAATAATTCTTTAAAAACGTTACGTCCCTAAGAAATATGCCCCCTAAAAATGTTTTGGAAATTTGACATTTGACATTTCAACTGAGTGATTCGCATGTCACGTTCTAGCCATGTTACAGCTTACCATGGGTCTCCGTTTGATTCAAGGAAAGAGAAGTATTTGAAAATATGTTCCCCGAAAAGGTGTGCCCCTATGGCGTGTATCACGAAAGTGGAATTTTTCCTGAACTCAAGATGTGAATAGCTACTTATGTCAGTCAGTAAGCTGCTCACGATCATCTATATATAATATGAAAGTAGAATTGTGTCTTTACTCACATATTCATCAGGTACTTCTTTGCCAAGTTTAAACTTTCTACCACCCTCAGTTTTGCTGAATCAGCAAATTTATGAAAATTTGGAAAATATCGGCCCTCGGGAGTTATAACAGTAAAGTTCCATTTTTACCGAAATCAAACCTCAGTAAACTACATGCACACCAAGTGTCATTATTATACGTTTGCCCTTTTCGCTGGTGAAAATTCATGTTTGGAAAAGCCGACCTACGCAAAAGCTATGCCCAGACCGGGATGTACCATAAAAGCTGAATACTCCCTCAACTGAATAATATCACGTCACTTATAGGTGTGCCAAGTTTCACCTTTCCATTTATGCCCAATTCGCCACGACAATTTCTTTTCTTTTAAACATCGCCCCTCGAGAAATTTTCCCCCGTCGATGTATCAAGACTTAACATTTTACTTTAACTTCTTATCTTGATAGTCACATTCCAGCAAAGTTCCAGCTTTCCGTGTCCATCAGTTTAACTAATTCAAAAAAAATTGTGAAAACATCTCCCATTGATATTCATGCCCCCAGGGCATTTCATTCAAAAGACTGAATTTTTCTGCACCCAGCATCCAGGTAGCATATACCAAGTTTCATCTTTCCACACTAGCTCAATACACCAGGACAAAAAAAAATACATGAAAACGACGGCCACGAAAAATATGCCCCAAGGGCATGGATCTAAAATGTTGCATTATTCCTGAACTCATCGTGTCGGTAGGCACGTCCATGCCACGTTTCAGCTTTCCATGTCTCTCCGTTTTGTTCAAGGAATGGGACATGGAAGGCAAGAGAAGCCAAAGAAAAGGAATGGCACGGCCGGGAATTGAACCCTGGCCTCACGATTAGCAGCGCGATGTGCTACCACTACACCACCGAAACGGCAACATACAATAGAAACTTTCGATGACATCCTTATCCATCACGATATATATTTAAGAAAACTTCTACCCCCAAAATGTGTATCCCCCATGGCATACACCAAGTTTCAGATTTCTAAACTTTCATGAACATGGTTAGAATTAGCGTCAGTCAGTCAGCCAGTCGGTCAGTCACTCAGTCAGTCAGTCACGATCGTCTATATGTATTAGATACTAGCGAGTTTGTTTGCCCTTTGGGAAAACAAACTGGCTATGGTTGCTCTTTCGGCGCTCCATTACCTTGGAAAGTCATTAATTGATTAATTCCTTGCGAAATGGCAAACACGTATTTAAAGTACGTTCCCATTGAAATACTTGATATATGGAGAAAAAAGCCTTGATTTTTTATCAAAATCTTTACTTGCATGATTTCTAGTGTGCCAATCTTGAAATCTTTTCTTGTGTACCGTTTTGTTAGGGTTTAGAATACATTTTGAAATACTTCCCTCCTATAATCTATGCTAAGCGGACATATTTCAAAAGTAGGATATTTCCTCTACTCAGCCATCAAACAGGCACTTCTGAGGTATGTTTTCATTTTCTGTTTCTGTTTCGTTGGATCAAAAACAAATTCAGGAAAATGGGACTTAATAAATGCCCTGATGGGTTTTAACGAAAAATTTTTTCTTCTGAAATGTAGACTCATGGAATTCCATGCCACCAAATTTCCGCCTTATACGTTTCCCCTTTTTGTTGGCAGAAAAAATAATTTTGGAAAAGCGATCCACCGAAAAGCTGCGATCTGAGGAGACGCACAACAATAGTTGACTTTTTCCTTAAATCAACATGACGTCTGTTATGCGTGCGTCAGGTATTTTCTATTTCTGCCCGATTCGGTAGGATATGAAAAATTCCTTGGAAACATTACGTCCCAAGAAATATGCCCCCCAAAAATACTTCGGAAATTTGACAATTGACATTTGAGCTGAGTGCTTCACCAGTCACGTTCTTGCCCTGCTACAGCTTTCCATCGGTCTCTGTTTGATTGAAGCAAAGAGAACTATTTGAAAGTATTGATATGTTCCCCGAACAGGTGTGCCCCTATGACTTGCATCAACAAAGTGGAATTTTTCCTGAACTCAGCATGTGAATAGCTACTTATGTCAGTCAGTCAGCTACTCACGATCATCTACGAGGGATATCCAGAAAAAAAGGTTAC